ACTCCCTACTCTCATTCCCATTGTGTTTCACTGGGACAAGACGAGCCCGGGAGGGCCGGCTCACCCGACAGTCAAGCACGTGACACGTCGACAGAAGACGGATGATGAAAAGCTTCTTAGCGAGGGTTGACCGCAAAATAAGAGAAGGCTCTTGTATCTGATATGCAGACAGTCGCGGACCTTACAACGGTAGTAATTTCAGGTATGGTTGGGCACCGCTATCAGTCAACTTTAAAGAGCACAAGGTGTCATAAGAGTATTACGATGTGGTGTGTTGCTCGTCATCAAATAAAGCCAGAAACACTATCCGACACATTCCTGATGTCCTGAGGAAAAAGGGGGAAGGGGGAGAAATTGGGTGGATACAGACGTCTACCTTCAAATCAAGACAAGGCCGAAAAAGCTGTATCCACATGAAGGAGTTCCAGCTGCATGTGTACTAACCGAGCTACCAGAGAAAAACATCAGATCTGCTTAAAATAACAACAGCAGTGGTGAGAATGATGATCAAAGTGGACCAACCAGGTGATCTGTTCGATCTCAAGGGGACGAAGGGCGTTGCTCGGGATGAATGACGGTTAATTCGAAATTGATGATTTCCGACAGCTCTGAGTTTAACAACTGCCAAACAGGCAAGGTGAAGTCGACAATACCCTCAGAATTTTTACCTGCGTCTGAAGTTGCTTAGGCACGCGATGCGACATTCAAATCATCAAAAAGATCCGTATGTATCACACCTTTGCCCGCGGCTAGCTCTCCTCAAAGGTGGGCTGTACATGCGGAGGCAACCTACCGCTGTTGTCCGAAAAGCAGGCTTCAGGTGAAGTACACAGACAGGCAACACACTAACCGCAGAGAAAAATCGTGAGAATATCTCAAGCCAAAAGACGAGGGAGGGAGTCTAAACATGTTCTCCGTCGCCAGCTCGCCCTACAAGTTTACTTTTGCTGCCGCCTTAAATCCAACATAGCCTTAGCGGATTCGTCGGTGAAGGGGTTTAGGTCAATCCCTAGCTTGAGACAATACGCCAAAAGGTGGCGATGAGTCTTCGTCGCAGGTCATCGGGCATGGAAACACTATTCACGAAATTAATAAGGCTAATTAGGCCAGGGATAATGACAGCAATTACATTGGGGGGGGGATATAAACACGAGACAGTAAAGGCTTTTGGATTAAAACCATGATAGACACGACAGGAAATGGAGACGCACCCGGAGATGGAGGGCGGGAGTGAGTACCTCTTGGAAAGGGGACTGTGAGCGTGGCTCTGGGTCTCAGGGAGGGCGGTAGGGACAGCATCGACCGGACTGTCTGGAATAGGTGGACAGGGGCCAAAAGCGAGAACCTCGAGACGTTCCAGCAAGGCACGTCGTTTGTTCTCCGCTACCACAGACAGTGTCTCCCGGTCGAGATCGTTCAGGAGGAAGGACTTAAGGCCTGGCAGCAGGGCTGGTAAAAAAAGAAAGGAAAGTGGTAATTGACCAATGAAAGGATGCTTGACAGTCGCTGTCGCAGGGGACAAGTGTGGTCAAGGAGCACAAGGCATTATGAAACTGTACTATAGGTATGGAACAGATTTGTCGCAGCAGAGTTTTCACAGCAAATTAATTCAGACAGATGCGCAAGTCCACTGACAGTACAGGTTTCAGTGTTTAGGAGTTTCTTCCAAATCCGCGTGATTGGTGCCTCCGAAAAACGGTTTGACTTCCTTTAAATGTGTACGCATAGAAGAAATAGCGTAACCATTGCATATATAGGGATGAAAGTAGACCAATGGCTCCCTGGTTGTTAATCGAACTAAAATTCTCTGTACTACTTGCTTCTTGTTTCATAAACGCAAGAAAAATTAGCATGGAAGTAGGTGGGCAAGATTTTCGGAGTCCTCAGAAGTATGTAGTGTCGACTAGGGACAAAGTAGACTGAAACACAAGACAAGTTTACGAAAGCGCAAACCGGTAACTTTTGGGTACGTGGTGGTTCTGCCATTTCAAACAGTAGAGAACGAAAGCAAAAACACTCGGGATAACGAAAATATGTCCCATGACTGTTTGGGTTCAGGCAGCATCACGCTACCTATGGGCACGAAAAAGAAAGCACAGTTCCGTTAGCTGCGACTTGGCTGTTGAAGTGTTCCCAAAAGACGGAGGTAACTTAAGTCAAAAAAAGGTTTTAACTCGTTAGGATAACTGTTTAGGTGCGAGGAATATTACAGAAAGGCCTTGTACACCACAAATTCTTCATGCTTCATTCAATAAAAGCAACTGCTGGAACGCATGCCTCATATACAGCTTGGAAGAATAGTGAGGCCATCAGTACCAGCACAAGCGGCTTCATGCCTTCTTTTTAACCCCGACCGATAATTTCAAGAAAAGTAGTAGGGACTGATGGGCAGAATGAGAAGGCATTTAAAAGAATTGGAAATGTCAGAAATCCACGTGCTGTGATCACTTATTTACCCCGTTGGGTAGACAGCAAAGTCTGATTCTTCATTTCGTTACCTTACCAGCCTATACTGGATTGGTTAGCAGTCGAGCCCGGCTAAGGCTGCGTGCGCAAAAAGTGAGTCCACGGAGACCATTAAAATAAATCAACTTATTGAACGCCCATGGTAAAAAGTGCATTTGAGTAAGCGCTAATGACGAGTTGGGAAACTTTGCTTTCGTAACACTTCTTGGTTATCAGTGGATAGAAGCCAGCTAACAGCACTGATTATCTGGGAGT